CCTGTAGAACTCTGAAGGTCTCCTGTAGACCTCTGAAGGTCTCCTGTGGAACTATGAAGGTCTCCTGTGGAACTCTGATTGACCGCTGTGGAACTACTAAAGGTCTCCTTCAGACCTCTGAATTGTGGAGCTTCTGTGTTTTCCTGCCACTGAGGTCTCCTGTACTGAAGGACCTGTGATTTAGTTGATCTCCACTGGAACATTTGAGACCTTCGGGCAACAAAGCTACAGTCCTCTGTGATCCTAAACCAGATAATAAAGTACTAATCTGTACTCTGTGTTTTCCTCAGTCCTGCATACTTACCTGTGGAAGTCCTATTTCCTCTAGCATCACTAACTTACCTTCTGGTGAGGTCTACAATCTGGAACCACTTACCTCAGCACCTTGGCCTCTAACTTGGTCAGCTTCTGAGTGTCCATCCTGCCCCTCTCCTACAAACTAGTGGTCACCTCATCTGCTCCTGCTCCACCACCTGTTGGGGAGTCCTACTCCCTCCTCTCCTCACCAACAAACAAGGATGCATTCTGACTGCAAGGACTGTTCAACACCCATTTGAGGGACACGTATCTTCCCATCTGCTTCTCCACAGATTCATTCCTGAGCTCCAGTTTTCTTGAATCACTTCACGGTAAATGAAGCTCACTCACCTTTTCATGGTCACCTCTCTCACTGTCAGTTTGTCTTCTCTGGGTGAAAACTATGTAAATCATGACATGAAGGTCTCCTGTGGTATCTGGTTCCAAGCTAGAAGCAGTCCTTGGAAGTTGTGAGGTGAAGCCTCCATTGGTCGGACTGGTTTCTCCAGAACATTCCACAGATGCTCGGTGGGACTAAGACCTGATTGTGTTCCTCAAACCATTCTTGAGGCTTTTCTGCAGCATCAGGGAGCTTGATCTTGTTGAAAGAGGCACCCTTTCCACGTTGAGATAGGTTTTATGGGTCAAAGGAACATGAATGGCACAAACTAAGGTTTCCCAGCAGAACTTATCTAAAGCACAACACTGTCACCTTCTTCCCATGATGCACCTGGTGTCATGACGACAGGTCAGAGACGCACACAGATCCAACAATCCACAAATTATAAAGGAAACATGATCCAGACCACCTCCCTCCATTGGTCTGAGGTCCAGTTCTGATGTGTCCTTTGTTGGAGCTTTGGGTAGTGGACCCAGGTCAACATGGACCCTCTGTGGGCTCGGACACCTTCTTATCAGAACCACCACAAATGTCTGAAGTTCTTCTTTGGGCTCTAAACGACACAGCTCAGCTTTCACTCCCCACATACATCAGTGATCCTGGATTCTTCATGACCCTGAGTCTGGTTCTCCTTCCTTGAACTGGTTTGGAAAGATTCTGAGCTCTGCAGACTGGGAGCTTCCCACTTCTGACCCAGTTTGTTTCTGGCAGAAGGTTTAGGCTGATCTGTACGTCAGATTGCTGAAAACATTTTGCAGGTTCCAACAGGAAGCAGAGGAGCGTACTTGTTGGAGGCGTGCACCGACGGCTTGTCGGCGCTGATCATGACGTTGGAGATGATGTGGACCACGGTCTCAGCAACCGCTGTGTCGATCTTGGCCACGTTCACCAGCTCTTGCACCTTTGTCACCACATGAGACACCTGTGGACAGACGGACAGAGGAAGGACGGGTTCTTTACGACCCACGACACAAAAGAGACCGGTTGTTGGACTTTTCCACTCCCACCTCTTCATTGGAGAGGATGTTCTTGGTGAAGTTAGCGAGCTGCTCCGCGACACCAACTGCATTTTCTACAGAAAATTTAAGAAACATTAAATTCAAACAGTTTCCACAGTCACTAATGTATGAATATAAAATCATAAATAAAACAGCAGTTTAATAAAACAGTCTGAGCTCACCGGCTGTGACTGTGCAGTTGGTGACATTTGCATTCGACCAGTAGGAGTTATAGTTTACTGGATTAATCAAACTGGAAAAAGATAAATACAATTTTTGATTTTGATATAAAACATGAAGTCAAACGTAACAGACACCACAAAAAGTTTGAGTTTTAGTATCAAACTGTGCAGCAGTGTAGGACAGAACAGTAGCAGCAAATAAAGTTTTAAGAAATTCCAAAGAAACTGGGAACTAACCAGTATCAGTAAAGGCTGAATGAATAAAAAACATTTCAGATGCTGTTAGCCTTAGATGCTAGTTGTCCACTTAGGCCATATGTGCTAGCTGTTAGCACTGTGTTGCTAATGTTCCACCAGGTAAAGGTGTCAGCTAGCAAGAATTAATATCTGATAGCATCACCACGCTAACGACAAGTTAAAAGAATGTTTATTCCAGTGGATGATTAGCTTAAACAAGCTAACTGTTAGCGGTGGTGCACTTTCAGAGTTTAGCTTTAAAAATCTAGAAAACTTCTTAGGAATGATTTAAGGGTATCAACGTAGCGACTGACAACAACATCCATCGACACGCTTCTTTAAAGTGCAATGGACTTTGAGAAACATTTCATAATAATCTAAGCTGTGCCGAGAGAGACTCTTATTTTGAAGATTATCCATCAGCTTTATTTTGACAGTCCAGTTTAAAACATCTTTCTGTTTTGTTTTTATGACTTATCAATGAATTCTCCTTAACATAAAAAAATCTGATTAGAGTTGAACAAAACAAAAAGAAAGAAAGGAGAACCTGCTGTAAAGTATAGAAACCCCTGACCCAGAATCTGCTGAGTCACCGGTTGCCATAGTGATTCCCACATTTTTTTGGAAAGCAGAAAGGGGAGGATCAGCACTTACACACGCACGCACGCACACACACACACACACACTGACATGTAAGACTTAGTCACTGTATAAAATCCATAAGTCGTATAAAACAATTATTGATCATTTTGAGCTCAGATATTGGAAGTCAACGGGAGTTTAGGTGACCTCTGCACTCTGAGGGGATATGAGTCATAACTGTGAAACGGTAGGCCAGCTTTGAGGCTCAATAATGTGTTGAAGTGATGACGTCTGTCGTGTGGCGGCCCGGTTCTGGATTAAACAACGGATTTATCCCAGCGGGAAGATCGGTGCCGACGCACAGCAACTCTTTATTTAGTTTAAAACATATCTAACCACAAAGAGGATACAGTGCTACTTCACTGTGTTTTAAAAACGACACGAGGAAGTCGTCCTGCTCCAGGTCAACCCAGCTGAGTTCTGCTCCACGTCTCTTTGGGTTCCACGATGCTCATTTCATTTAGGAAAGCTCTCATCGAGCGGGACGTGTCCGACTTCAGCTGTGGTTTATGAACGACCAGACGGAGAAAGACGGACTGGTCTGTGCGGCCATTTTGCAGAACGTTTTTATGAAAGGGCCTGAACTCTTCCTGTGACTCACTTCCTGTTTGTTTCTGGCACCCACTCATACCTCGACGACCCGATCAGTTGGCTCCTGGTGTTACAAACTTCTCACTCATTCTGAAAAGTTTTGTTTCACCTCCACCAAACCGCATCCATCAGAACATTCGTCCTCGGTTGTGTTTATGTTTACCAGGTCCTGGAGGCGCTGTGGTCCTTGTTGGGGAAGCAGGGCAGGTTCTGAGTGACTCTGGGTCGGGTCTCAGGCCAGAGGAAATAAATAAGCTGCTCCTCGGGACAGTTTTCTGGTAGAAGGAGCAAAGTCCACAGAAAACCAATCATTACATAAGTATTTAAAAAAATAGAATGCTGAAATTAGCTGAAGTTAAAACAAGTCTGCTACCTTTACCCTGTTAGGTTTAACTTGTTAGCTTCAACCTGTTAGCTTTAGCTGGCTAGCTTCAGCTTTCTACCTTTGGTGTGTTAGCTTCAGCCTGCTATCTTTAGCCTGTTAACTTAAGCTTGTTAGCTTTATCCTGTTAGCTTTAGCTTGTTACATTTAGCCTGTTAGCTTTAGCTTGTTACATTTAGCCTGTTAGCTTCAGCCTGCTACCTTTACCTTGTTAGCGTTAACTTGCTAGCTTCAACCTGTTAACTTCAGCCTGTTAGCTTCAGCCTGCCACCTTTCCCCTATTAGCTTTGGCTTGTTAGCTTTAGCCTACTAGCTTTAGCTTGATACATTTGGCATGTTAGCTTCAGCCTGCTACATTTAACCTGCTAGGCTTAGATGGTTAGCTTTAGCCTGCTATATTTAGCCTGATACCTTTAGCCTTTTAACTTAAGCTTGTTAGCTTCAGCTTGTTAGCTTTATCCAAAGCAGAAGCTTGAAGCTAAAAGTGGCAAAATGCTCACTACAACAATGTTTTGAAGGAATTTAAGAAAACTTCATGTGTTTCTGTGGGAATTTAATTTTAAATCAAGTTAAATATTTTGAAAAATAAAAACGTTTCAACAGCCGAACATTTTCTTCATGAACGGCTAAAAGAGCAGAGAATGTGCAGAAGTTGTTTGATTGTAAACGCATTGAGGAGGAACTGCTGATTCAGCAGAACCGACGAGCCGAGTGAAGGACCACCGAGCTGAAAGCTTCATCTCTCACCTACTAATCGGACGTAAAGGCTGTTGGGTTGGACCTGCAGTCCGGTACCGACGAGCCCGACCCTGCTGAGCAGCCGGTCCAACACGCCGGCCTCGGTCCTGCTGCGGATCAGCAGCAGAACCTGGCAGCTGTAACTGAGAGAGAAAACCCAAAGAGACGAACATGAATCTTTAAAACGATCAGACTCGATGAGACTGAACATCTGGACCGGACTCTGACCTGTTGGAGCTTCCATCCAGGTCCAGCCTGAAGAAGAAAACATCACGACACAGAAACTCAGACACTCCAACAAGTTCAAGCTAAAAGTTCTGACTATTAACAGGAAATCACTCGAGACGATCAGCTGGAAAATAAAACGTTTCTTAAACTCGATGAATCCAGAAAGAGCTCTGAGATGTACCTGAGATGATCCACAGTCCAGGTCCAGTCCTGGAAGGTCTGGTTCAGCTGCAGCGAGAAACAAAATAAAACCATTAATCCCACATTGTTGTGCTTTTATTCTGAAAATCCCTGCTCCATACATCCTGCTGACGTGTTCAGAACGTCTCACCTGACGTCCACCTGATGAAGAACCTCAACTCTGGTTTAACGTTTTAATAAAACCAGAACTTTTTGATTTTCAGATCTCATGAATTCACATTTTATTCTCAGAGGAGCAAAATAAACAGAGAAACCAGGTTCCTCTGAGGAGATGGCCCTCTTCTAACAACGCTCCAGAACCTTCCAGGGCCTGAGGAGACCAGGTGGAGGTCCTGGAGGAGACCAGGTGGAGGTCCTGGAGGACCTGAGGAGACCAGGTGGAGGTCCTGGAGGACCTGAGGAGACCAGATGGAGGTCCTGGAGGACCTGAGGAGACCAGGTGGAGGTCCTGGAGGACCTGAGGAGACCAGGTGGAGGTCCTGGAGGACCTGAGGAGACCAGATGGAGGTCCTGAGGAGACCAGATGGAGGTCCTGGAGGACATGAGGTGACCAGATGGAGGTCCTGGAGGACCTGAGGAGACCAGATGCTGGAGGTTTTGGAAGTGAAAGTGTTTCTGAAGCCAGAACCAGACCTGGTCTTAACGCATTGGCCCCTGAGGGCCTCGTCCTCTGAGCTCAGATTTCTTCAGATTCTTCTAATCTGTGGATCAGATTATGAACTGGACATGATGGAGATTAAAGTCTTTATTCGGGACCTTTATTCTGAAAGGGTGGTCCTGGTTTTAGACAGAGTGCTGAACTTCTAACAGCCTCTGACTGAGCTGCTGGTCCTAAATGTTCCTCCTGGTTCTGATCCGGTTACAGACTCTAGTTTGTGACGTCACATTTCATAATCTAAATGTTCAATTCTTTAGCTTCAGCTGTTCATTTGTTCCGTTCAGAGAAGCAGCCGAAGTTTTCAGAACATTTTCAGACAAATATAAAAGCAGCTAAAGCATCGGTCTGACGTGTGAACCTGTGGATCAGCGTCTCACCCAGAGGGCCACGGCGCGCTCCACCGCCTGCTGACTCAGCTCCGACTCCACCACCAGGAACAGCCCGTAGAAGCGTCCCTCTGAAGAAAAGAGATTTAAATCAGAGCAGGCACGAACATCTGCAGAGAAGAACCGACGGCCCGGAGCCACAGTCCAGTAGAACCATTCAGAGCAGATAACAGAGCGGGTTCTGATGGACAGCAGGAAGCTGCAGGAGGACGAGGACGTTCTGCTCGTCTGCGTGTTCACGAGTCAAAGCTTCGCCTGCAGCCGCTCACACAAACATCTGAACAAGGAGACGAGCAGCAAAGATTCTTGGTGTGCAACAAACAGCTGCTGCTGCAGTTTGTTTGAAGACCAACTAAAACATCTGAACCAGCTCTGACTGGTCCACAGGTCTGTCACAGGAGCCTTTAGACTCCACCTGGACCAGCTGACTCGCTCTGAGCTCCTTGGACCTCCTGCTATGCTCCACAGCGTCCACCAGGCGTCCCCCTCGTGTCTCCGTCACACACAGAGGAGTCCGTCAGGTCTCGATGGAGACCCTGAAAGCTGCAGCTTGTGGTTCTGGTTTTTGAGGAGCAGGTGCTCAGTCAGACGTTTCCACCGGGGTTCGGACGTTTGACTTTATTATCCAGAGACAAACAGCTGAGCAGGACGTCCCCACCGTGAGCTGGACGGACTGAAAAGACATCAGACTATAAGAAGCGACCGACAGAGGAGAGGCTTAAGGAGGGAAACCAGAGAAGAACACGAGCTGTAATCCTTCAGTTGGAACTACAGGATTAAAACTACAACAAGAACCGATCACGAGATCCTACAATCAACCCAGAATCACAACAAACTCACCAGCAAGATCAGGGATTATAATCTAAACAAGACGCTAATCAATCATGAAAGCATCAGATCAAAGCCCGGCCACCTTAAAGGGACAGTCTGCACATTCTGACCTGAGGTTCAGCGTAAACGTTCTGAACAATAAGTATCTTGTCTGTTGCAGATAGCCCTGTGAACACCCTCAGATTGTAGGAATAAAATTTAGGTCAGATTTGACAGATGAGCTAAAGGCTAGTCCAGGCAGGGCCAAGACCAGAGTGGGCTTCTGCCATCGTAATCTCAAATATATGCAAATGTCCATGACAATGATATTTTATAAACCTTTTACATCAACTAACAGACATACAAGATAATCCAAACAGATTAACAAGATAATCCAAACAAACCTACAAGATAATCCAAACAGACCTACAAGATAATCCAAACAGATCTACAAGATAATCCAAACAGACCTACAAGATAATCCAAACAGGTCTTTAAAGATAATCCAAACAGACATACAAGATAATCCAAACAGATTAACAAGATAATCAAAACAAACCTAAAAGATAATCAAAACAAACCTACAAGATAATCCATACAAACCTACAAGATAATCCAAACAGACCTACAAAATAATGCAAACAGACCTACAAGATAATCCAAAACAGACCTACAAGATAATCCAAAAAGACCTACAAGATAATCCATCCAAACCTACAAGATAATCCAAAAAGACCTACAAGATAATCCAAACAGACCTACAAGATAATCCAAACAGACCTACAAATTAATCCATACAAACCTACAAGATAATCCAAACAAACCTGCAAACTAATCCAAATAAACTTTTCAGTTAATCCTAAAAAAACTACCAGCTAATCTTTGCAAACACAAGTTAAACTTTTTTTTTTAACCCAAATGTGGGAATATTGTCTTAATCTGAAACCAGTACGTGAGGTTGGGGATTACTAATCTCCAACAGATATGACGTGTTCATTGTTTTCACTCAGAACCCCAGTTCCAAATGGACAGAATCTTTATTTAACATAAACTTGTTTTCAGTCCCAAAATCTTGGTTTTCAGTATAAAGTGTAATTCTTGTGTTTCGAGCAGCTTAGACACACCACGTGTGTAAAAATCGTCCAACGGGTCAAAATGTTTTGGCCGTGTAGCGTTTCAGTCTGCAGGGATGGCACTTACTTTAGAACTGAATACAAATCAGCAGTTTGACTTTTAGACAGATTTTCGTTCTTTGGATTATCTACAGCTACGGTTCGTTGTTACTGTTTGACATACGGTTCCCTGACGACCCGCTGCACACACACGTAAAATCAAAGCCTGGTTTACACTGGCAGGGCAGCGTCGGCCCGGCTGCTGAGTCCACGGTCGGACCGGGTCGTAGCGTGGCCTGTTTCAAGCTGTGAGCTGACAAACTCAAGGCTTTGAACAGAGGAGCTGGAGAGGAGCTCTTTGTGGTTCTGACCACGGGTGGCAGTGGGGAAACATCCTTGTGGTTTAGGTTCTCAGGGGATCCTGAACTTTGATCCACGTTGTGGTTCTGATCTGAGGTCAAACTTGGTGAATTTGCTGGTATGTCTCCTTTTGAACTTCCTGTGGCGTTATGCTGATATACGTCTATCCCTCCAGTACCGTCTGAGCCAATATTACCTTGTGAGAAAAGGTTTTCGAGCGCAATACCCAGGCTTGGATTTATCTGGGAGAGGTTCTTTAAGCCCACCGTGTTTCCAGTTTGGGTGCCTTTTCCAGAAATTGTGAGATGTTCAAGCTCAGACACGAAGCCTTGATTTGGGGCACTGATGGAGAAGCTGGTGTTGGACCTGGAAGCTGCCGTGGAAGAGGAGGTATCAAGCCCAAAATAGGGGGGAGGGTTTGGAGGAACCAGAACAGAATCAGTTACAGGTTCCTGCATTGCACCTGAGGTTTTGTTGCTATGTACTGGTGAAGAGTTCAGTCCAACGAGGAACGTGTCAACAGGATGCATCTTTGGAACAACGTCTGCAGGATCGAAGGCAGACTCAAACCAGGAGGTCCCTGCAGCGAGGCGTGACGAAACCTCAGCATCCTTAGAAACAGGAGGCCGCGACGAGCCGGCGTCCAGTTCCCTCTCAGTGAGCATGGAAGATTGTTTAACAGAGAGGGAGATAAAACGTTCACCTGGATGTGTTGTCTGAAGAACGGGCTGTGGGGGGGTCAGTAAATGTTTGTGCAGGGGGGCAACAGTGGGTGACAAAAAGCCAATTTCTGAATCTGTCACAGTGACGATTGCTGGCAAAGAAGTTGCTCGGTGGGGGAGGAGAGGAGGGGAAGATGGGGAGATGAAAGATGAGAGAGGGGAGACGGTCACAGCAGGGGGGACTGCAGGATACATGTAAGAAATGAATGGAAGAAGAGAAGTGGCAGAAAGAGAGGGTAAAACATGTGCATGCTGTGAATCTATAAACTCTCGAGCACGAGTGTGAGCTGAGCTGTGGGACTGCTGCGGATAATCCAGGCCCCAGCAGAGCTGTGGTTTCGTCGTAGGAGCCTGTACGCCGGCGTTTCTGTGGAAGTTTGCTGGCAACGAAGCAGACTGATGCAGGGAAGGTGAAACGAGCTGATAAAATGCCTCTTCCTGTCCGGCGGGTGGCTCAGACACCAAGGAGTTTGTGTTCTCCGGGCTCAGTGGATCTCTGGTAAAACTTAATCTGTTCTGTGACCCAGTTACTGCTGTCTGGGCCAAAAGAGTCGGATTTCCTATCATCCCCTCTGTGGCAGGAGTCTCTGCTGACACTGTGAGCGACGGGTTGTCATGGAGGCGGAGACTTAAGGTTGAAAAGGAAGGACTTAAAAGTGGTGAAGACAAAGAGGCAGAGAAAAACTCCAGGTTTTTGTGGAAGTTTTCTTGAGGCTGAGCCAGGGTGTTCTTAGAGAAGCCAATAACAAAGTCAGACAATGATGGGTCATGCATCAGTCGTGACTCACCTGAAAAGGTGTGCCCTAAACCTTCCAGACCAGACCTATGTGGGATCTGACTGACTGACTGATTGGATAATCCAGGGTCCAAAATCCTTGACAAATTCTCCATGGCTAATTGTTCCGAGTCATCTGACTCAAGACGAGCAGAGGGAACCAAAAGGTCTGATTGAGACTGATAAGACTGCTCAATTTCAGAGGGGTACAAATGCTTTGTTAAGACTTTGGATACATTGGTGGAGATTTTTTCAGCAGAAGGTGGTAGGTAATTAACAACTGGGATCAAAGATTCAGGTGGGGGGACAGAAAAGACAAAAGATGGCAGCAAAGATATGTCAACGGCTGTGGCTTCAACTTTAGTTTGAAGGCTTGAGGATAGAGACAGAAATGACAGCTGAGGGGTTCCTGAAAGCCAAGGAGCAGCAGAGAAAGGAACAGGAGTGAAGGTGTTGGTGGAAAAAGAGGGAGACGGACCTGAGAGATAAGTTGACAATGAAGAGGCGGCAAAGACAAAGGGGGACTGAGGGACAGTTAAAGAGTTAGACGAGGAAGCTTGAATTTGAACGGGGGATGGAAGAATGTAGGTGGATGATGAACTTGGATGTAAACCATTAACCAGCACACTTTTGTTCATAAATTGAGAGAAAACGGATATCTTAGTCTTGTCTTCTTGCCGCAAAACTGAAATTTCCTGAGAAGGAAAGTTAGAGGAAGGTGGTTGTGGCATGCTTAAAGACGGTGTTGGATGGATCACAGAAATTATTGTTCTTAATCTATCCACCTGTTCTTCAGCAACTCGTACGTTTAAACTTTTGTCACGCTTTCCTTCACTCAGTCGAGTCCTGTTAGGAATTTTAGAGGCTTCAGTGTTTGTGGAAAATTCTTCCAGGGAAGAGGTGGTCTTGGGCAGGTTGAAAGGGTTGGGCTCCTCCATAAGATCCGTCCAGTTTCCTGTAGAATCTGTTGGACTTTCTTCACCATTACTGGGCAAAAGTGACAACAATTGTGCTATAAGTTTGTTCTTTCTGTTTCTCAGAGCTGCTACTGCTGTTGATGGAGAAGTTTCCTTTGAATGTAATGCCTCACCTTTACGTTGCCATGGAGATGAGGTCTGAGATGAGACTGAAGCCTGAGACCCTGGAGAGGTTTTCAAGTCTCGAGCAATTGTAGTGGTCTTCTTCTTCTTGGTGACCAGTTGGTCTAAAAAGGAAGACTGTGGTGTAAAAGCTGTCATATTGGTACGACTGGATGGATGAGTCACATTTTTTAACCAGGGACTGGTAGTGGACTTCAGTCTGGTTGGTGGAGCAGCAGGTTTAGTGATGTAAACCTCCACCCTGGTAGGTGTTGCTCTGGTGGTAACTGGACGTCGTCCCACATTTGGCCTTCTCCTCAGAGGGGTGGAAATGAACCCGAGGGAGGGTTTGGGATAGGATGAGACCCTTCGAAAGGAAGCAGGAAGTCTGGAATAAGAAGGTTCAGATACAAGACCAGAGTCTGAAGCTAGGAGTCTGGGCTGATATGGTCTCTTTGGGAAGTTGTGGTCTTGGCCTGGTGGACCTAAATGACTGGATATGAAAGAGTGTCGGTGAAAGGCCATTCCAGGGGTTCCAGGTTTTAAATCCCGTCTAGTCCGTCTGATTAAATGATAAATTTGAGAAGTTCTTGCATCAGATACTCCATCACTGAGACTTTGGTTGTGACCCATACGCAGACGTTTGGACCATGAGGCTCCACATTTGGGCTTTGGAGCAACTCGAGCAGCAGCTTTGGTTGGAGATGTTGCTGTCGACTCCGCTGCTGTTGCAAAAGGCAATAATGTGAAAAAGCAGGTTAAATTAATAAATACATTTCTAAGCAAAGTCCACCTGAAAAGTACAACTCAGACACACCGGGGGACCCATTAGTACAGAAATATAAGGTGTAAAAGAACAAATGATTTTGTTATTTGTTCACCCAAAAGAGGAAACCCAAGCAGAGAAGGATCTATAGAGCTACGACGGAACAAATAATCTGCCCTGACCCAGTTTAACCATTAGACAATGACGTCAATACATGATTGAAAACAGCACCAAGAACACAATTATTTTAAGAGACCTCAGGAACAACGTGCAGAACTGGGAAATAAGAAAGAGCTGATGAGTGTTTCACACAGACGATAAACTGGTCATGCATGGCTGTTGTTACCCCGGGAGGAGGCAGTATCATCTATGTTAGTCGTCGGTTGGTTTAGGGTTAAAAATGGCTGCTGAGGAGTCGTTCCTGGAAGGGTTGGTAGAGAAAAAACAGCTGGAGGAACTAGAAGAAGGAAGGTGGTTAAAAGATGATGAGAAGGAAGACAAGATGATGATTTAACTTTTGCAGAGATGGCTTTTTTATAGTATTAAATCAAGTTGTTTAAAAACTAAAATCAGTGACTTTGCAACATTTCCTCACAGTGTTTTGTACTAAAGAAAACCCGTGGTACACAAGGTTTCACCTGATTGGTCTACCAACAAAAAACACCAAGATGGTAACTCATACAGGAAACCAGTCAAAGGATTTATAGCCAGTTGTAGGAAGAACTGCATGCAAGTTGTTAAATTAAAGCATTAAAGCATTTTTTCACAAAATACTGAAAAGCTAAATAACACATTTATAAAATGTCCTAAAGTCTAAAACTGTTGACATCAAACTATTTTAATCGTTCCTGAACAAACTAGAAACCAGATGTTTACCCTTACAGGAAGTTCCCTCTGTTCTAATTGGTTTGACCAGGCCCCGCCCACAACTGTCAA